CAGTGCTGGTTTATTACAAAGTGGCCTTGTGCCAGACACCACACTGAACTACCAAGTCCATAAACAATGTATAAAAAAAAAATGCGTGAATGAACAGTGAGAGGAAAGGGATCAATCAACGAGTGCATAAATTATAAACATCAAAGAGATAGCCGGAATAAAATGACAAAGGCGTCTGGATGCAAAACATGTGTAATTTTTTTATTAAATGGAAAAACAAGTAGGTATCTCATGGTACGAGATCAAAGAAAATGTTCTGCGCCAAAATAGGAAAGCAAGATGAACAAGGCGGGAAAAAGGGTTTTATAAGGTTCTGGAAAAAGGAACTCGTTAACACGAGGTGTAGGTGCGCACAGATAAAAAGGAGTACTCACTGTGGATTTTTGGCGTTGAGTGTGTATGTGATTTTTGTGTTTTTTTTTTATCTTTTTTTATGTTCATGTTCAAAGTAGAGAGAAAGTTCAGTCGTCTCAAGAGTTTGGTCAGGCATTGAATTAACTGTTGAAAATTTTAACGGATTGATGTGGACGTCTAGCCAAAAGGACGAAGAGTTATTTGCAGTTGGTTGCATCGTTACTCTGGCGAGTGACGAAGAATTATTTGTAGTGAGTTGCATCGTCTTTGAATTTGCTTATGGCGAGTCCAAAGGGACGAAGAATATCTGTTCGTCAGTAAGATATCCCTGTCTGTATTTAAGGTTGACTGACGAGGGATAAAATAAGTCACTTGTTGAATACGAAATTTTGCCCACGACTGCGTCGTGTGTCTCGCACATTTTCTAGCAGAAAACGGAGAAGGTCTGACCTGTGGGTAGCAAGTTTGTTCGTCAATAAGATATCCCTGTCTGTATTTAAGGTTGACTGACGAGGGATAAAAATAAGCCACTTGTTGAATACGAAGTTCTGCTCACGACTGTGTCGTGTGTCTCGAACGTCTTCTGGTCGAAAACGGAGAAGGTCTGACCTGCGGGCAGCTTCAAGACGAGAAGAAGTCTTGGTACAGTGTGAGGTCGACATTGTTGAAATAAGATATTCCGGCCCGCATATGGGTTAAGGGCACGGAATAAATGAGTTGCCCGTCTAGTTAGGTCGAAGATCGGGAGGCAACTGGTTTGCAAACGCTGTTCGTTTGAGACGCCGAGAAACGCGCGGGAAAAAATTCAAAATCTGTTAGGCTGACTTCATCAGTAGGGAGCTAGCGAGTTAAAGGAAGTTTACTGCTACGTCTAACTGTGAGAGGGAGGTGCAAAACCGCGCGCACACACGCACGAGTGTGAAAGGAAGGGAGGAAAACTCGCGCGCGTAAAATGTAGATGGAATTAATAATGTGTTAATTCCATAAGGTTTCCCTTTTTATATTCGTTACAATTAAATCAAATATTAAGAAATAGAATTTAAAAATAACAAATTCGAGAATGAATGAATTTTTAACAAATGTGAATCTGGTATCTTTAAAGTTGCAAGATGATAAATTTGTTATTGAAATAGAATTATCACTTTATATATTTTTTCTTTGTGAAATGTGTCAGGTATATTTTTAGAAAAGGTTGTAATTTGAAATTGAAAGTGTATGAGAAAAAAGGTTTTTCAGTACATTACTTTCCATGCAGTTTATACAAGAGTAGATGCAATGGTAAATTTGCGTTTTAATCCCCGTGATAAAATCTATTAAAATTTTCCCAAATCATAATATTTCCGTGTAAATATATATATGCTGAACTCAAAATAACAATTAAACTGTGATAAAACCTACCGTTTTGGAGTTACTGACAAGAAAAATTCAGACTCACTTGCAGTCATTTGTCTGCCATTACCAGCTTTGTGTAATTAGATTCACTGCAGATCACTTCCGTCAAGCAATCATAATTTTTGGCCTATTTACTGTTTTTACTTGTATAAATTACATTAGACATCACCATAGCATGTAGGAGCTGTTTCAATATACCAGTCAGGTATAAGAGCTGTGAGCTGACATGATAGTCTACTACTACTAATACTACTACTACTGTCACAGAAGAAAGAAAAGAAGAAAGAAGAAGCCCTAAAAACCTACAAGAGTTTTCTTTACTAAGAATGTCTTTTCTAAACATGTAAGAGTCTCATATATGAGAATGCCTTAAAACCAATAAAGCCAGCCATGCCTGAGGTAGGTTGATCTTTTCTCATCCTGTTACAGAATTTGAAGGACAGGATCAGAATGGTCAGCAATTGGACAGAGTAACTCATAGGTGAGGCATTCTGACAGTGATGGATTACCTTTGTCTGCATTTTGAATATAAGTCCAAAATGGCGCAAATTCAGCAGAGGGTCTCAAGAATTCTGAAGCATCAATATGCCTCCCACTCCCAGGTTTACGACTGGCTAATATCACCTGAAGAGAGATGTTGAGCCAATGTGTGATATGCATTCCTGTCATGTCAGTGCTCTTACAGTCTCTGAGACTCCAAATTGCCATTCTTAATAACATGAATACCAAAAGTAAATGACTCTTTTCATTGATACCATTTTTATTAATAGCATGGAGATCCCAAGATGATAACAACCCCACCCTTAACTTTCAACCTTTAAACCTTTGACATTTTGAATTGCGAACTTTTTGAAGTAAGTAAATTTTGTTTGTTAGTAAGAAATTGATTTATATGAATTGTTTCTCTAAAATAAAGTTGTTAAAATTTCTTTGTTGTTAAGGAAAAAATGAATTTTTCATGAACTGTTTTCTAAAAGAAAATGGATTTATATTTTGAAAGAACTGTTAATCTACCATTTTTAGCTTAAGTTGCACAAGTAATATTATATATTATAATTTATATATTATGTAAATATTTTTGTCATTGTAATAAATGTATGTTTCTTTACAAATTTCACTTTGTCTTTTTTATTAGTGCCTCTAGAAGTACTTGAGAAAGACAAGAGATTTAAAAATCTCCTCCTCTTTTGACATCCCACTTGATCCTCTACTTCTCTCTCTCTCCATTTTTTTATGTTTATTTTTTACAAGTAAACTGTTTTACAGTAAACATTTTAAATAATTTCTCAAATTGAAATATTCCCAGTTGTCTGCTTTAGATAAAAATCATTTTATTTTTCAGGTTCCAATTTTCTCTGATCTTTCTCTTTTTGAAATGATAATGAGATTATTCTGAGATAATCAATATGTAACAAGTTCTTAATTGTTTTTATTGACACTTACCATTTTATTTTCAAATGTCCATGACATGACCTGAGAGCATGTGGTAAATTAATAAGTTTTAAGATAAAAATAACAATAAAGAAATTGTTGAAAATAATCAGCAAGTGACTGGTGAAATGTTGGTGAAAACTAATGAGGAAAGAAGGCTTAGAGAAAATAATTCTCTTATGGTATACTGAAGTCAAGAAAAGTTGGGGAAAATGGTAAGTTACCTATTTGACGAGTTTGAGCAAATGAATTATGTATCACAAAAAGAAAGAGCTTAGGTTTACAAAATGTTACTTGCTCTAACACTTGTTCTTTATGAGGCCAGGCTATGAAGAACCTTGATTTCATACATCCTGAAGGTATATGGCGTAGAAAGAGGGAGTGTGTGTGTGTGTGTGTGTGTGTGTGTGTACAAGATGAAGAGTATCAAGGGATTAAAGCCTTTTAGACAAAATATTCAAAATTATGAAATAAACTCGAATACATTTAGAAAAGACATTTTAATAATATATATATATATATATATATATATATATATATTTTCTGAGCAAAAAATACAATTTTAAAAGAGAAAGTCTTGTAGGTTTTGAGGTCTTAATTTTTTTCTCCTTCAGCAGCAACAATAGTAACTGTAGCAACAGTAGAAGTAGTATTAGCAACAGAAGTAGTCATTATAGTCCCAGCTGATGGCCTTTGTTGTCCAAGTGTAGTCAAATCCATTCTTGTTCTGCAGCAGCAGTAGCAGTCTTTCTTCTTTTTTATCCCAGATAGCAACCTCTATATGTGTGAGGAAGTCATTCCTTTTTTCCTATGAGTGTTGGCTTCGCTTGTTGGCTTTTGTGGCATATGTAGGCTTCCTTACTTTGCTTGATTCAGCAGTAGCAGCAATGGAAGTAACCAGCAGGGAACAAACAGAAATTCTAGAAATCAAAAAAATATTGACCAAGCTTTATTCGGCTCTCTTTTCACTCTTCCTTTTCAGTGGCCACAACCTTCAAGGCCAAGATTGAAGGGCTATTCACAAACCTTGCTGCAGAAGACATATGGCCTGTCCTGGCAGCTTGACCTGAGATTTATTGTTCCTTCTGAGGACAATTGAAGAATTCTCTCTTTGAGACATCAACCAAAGCACTACTCACAACCCTTGCAGCAGACGACACATACAAGTTTGAGCAGTTTGACACACATATTTCTTGTTCCTCATGGTAACAAGCAGAGAAATCTCTCTCTATAAAGCATCTTATCAAGGGAAGGACTTTGTTAGCTAGGAAACAAAACTTTCCTCACAAATACTACTATTTTGTATTCTCTCTTTTCAACTAAAGTTAAACAGTTATTTTGAGCCATGAGCTTATTCAATCATTAACTGAAGAATTAAGATTCACCAGAAATTTCAAATAGGAAACCGTGAAATTTTCACAGGTTAAAACTCATTTATGAATTATTCTCAGTGATAATTAAAATGAATTAGATAATTATCTATTAGTCTCTAAGCAGATATACAAAATGGATGCCATAAATGTCATTTACATAATCATTAAAAGTAAAGATTATGTTCAATGTCAGAAATTAAATTGAAGCAAAATTTGTCAACTCAAACATTTGTTCCTTTGGATTGGGATTTTAATTCTTTTCCCTAAAATGACTAAAAGCAATTCTGAATGTCCACAATGTTCTTTGTTTTATCTATTTAGTAAGAAACCATATTTTAGTGAAAGAGATTCTTTTTATTTTGTAGCTATGGAAGAAGAACTTTTGGCTTTTTTATTGAATATGGAATTAAAGGCCCAAAACCAATTGCTTATCTTGGAAATCTTTTGGAAATGAGTAAAAAAGTGAGTATTTAAAATTTGAAAAAGAAATTCATTGCAATTTTAAAATTCTTTAAGAAATCCAAGTAGTTGATTTCAAAATTTTATACGTTTTAATCTTTGATTTGCTCAGTGACATATTGTATTTACTTACTGAGCAAAAATTATCATTCCAGTTGATAACATGATATAATAAACTGTAGGAAATTTCAGAATCTTCTATTTGTAAGTAAATGGTATATAAAAAGATAAAAGTAGCGACTTGGATGAGGACTGAGTTTTCAATCAGTCATTTTAGAAATTTTATCAGTAGAGTATTTCTCTGCTGTATATTTCATTTAATATATTTTTGCATTAATTTTCTTTATTCTTTTCTGGTGAAAACTAGCATATATGCTGATTATTGTGAAAAAAAAAATCCAAAATCATCTAGTTGTACTGATGCAAAAATATCTTGAAAAATCAAGTCATGTTCATTTTTATGATTTTCAAGTAATAATGAACAATTTTATTTTAAACAAACAATAATATTTCAACAATTTTAGTTTTCTTAAGTATGCTTAAATTTTTTTTAATTAATTTGATTTTTTTTTTTTTTTCAAGTATGTCATCCTTTGTGCAAAATGTTTATATCCAGTTCGTTTTAAATTGATTTTTTTGATAAATTGCATTTTTTAACTATTCAGTTTATTTTCTTTCTTCTTTTTATTCTAATAGGGGTTTCACAACATATTTTTTGATTGGAAGGAAAAATATGGAGACAAATATGGGTAAAAAAAATTTCTATCCAACCTGTTTAGAAGAGTTAACTATTAGCGTATTTTGTAAAAAGAAATTTTGAAAAGAGAAACAAATTTTTTTCTACCAAAAAGTTAAAACTAAAAAAAAAAAACGACTTTCAAATGCTGAGTAGGTAATTCTGAAATGAGTAACAGCAACAAAATTAAAAATCCTAAAAATGACTAATTATAAAAGAAAATGGAAAATATGTTTTTTACAGGCAGTGGTTAAGATGGATTGATAGAGTATTTGATTTCATTTAGAGACTTGTTGATTTCAAAGGTCATTTGGCAAAGAAATAACCTTTTCTCTTTTCAAGATTTATCAAGGAAAAAGTTTATAATAAAAAAAAAAAAGAAACTTTCAAATGTTGAGGTGGTATTGGAATACATTTTATATGAGCTTGGAGAATTAGTAAAGATGAAGATGCAAGAAAAAAATCCAAGCTTGATTTTTGACAGTAAAAATTTAAATTTTCTCTATTTAAGGAAACATTTTTCATAAACTCAGGTGTATTTCTTTTTGCCAAGAGTTTGTTCTAAATACAATTTTTTTTTCAAAACTAATAATACATGATAATTTTTTAATTTCCATTTTAAATTTTAATTCCATTCAGTCATTACTGAGTCTATTTATTTTCTTGTAGCATATTTTTTGGATCGCAACCCAATCTGGTTATTTCTGACCCTGAAATTATTAAAGATCTGATGGTCAAAAATTTCTCCAATTTTACAAACAGACCTGTAAGTAATTTTTTCTTACTAATTTCAGTTATGGTTAGAAGACATTAATGATTATCAATTTTAGTTTAGTTGTTGAGAAAAAGAAATTCAGGGAAATTGGAGGAGGAAGATTGTGTTGTGCCAATTTCCAAAGGGGAGGGGACCTAACAGCTTTGAAGATCATAATCTGAAATTCTAGCATTTAATTGAACTTTAGGATGGACTGCAACTTTGAAATGCAAATCTGCCTGTCAAAAGATTCTTAGTATTATTTTAATGATGATCAATTATTCATCAATATGATCAAATTTTCTCTCATTTATACTGAACATGAATTTAAATAAAGTCTTATATTTTGTTTTTAATTATTTTTGCCAAGATTATCAGATTGTCTTCACTGAACAGTATTCATTTAAATGCATTGTGTTTTAATTACAAACACTTGTTTTATTTGGTTCCATTATTAGAGTGTATATCAAAGTTGAATTGTGATATATATATATATATATATATATATATGTGTGTGTGTGTATATTAATTCTTTTTTCTCTTTTAATATATCTTTATTTCCTTTGACAGTTATTATTCCCGGTAGATGAGTACAGTGCAAACATGGTAAATATTGCAAAAGACGATCACTGGAAGTATCTTCGAACTGTCTTGGCACCATCTTACAGCTCAAAAAGAATGCGTGAGGTATATATCTCATAAAACATTTCTTTTAAAACATATTTTCTTGTCATTTGTTGTCAGAATTGAGTTCAGCATATCAATTAATTTGTTGCATTAATTAATCATTCTTAATTCTATAAACTCAGTGTCCCATATAACCAAACCCCTTCTTGTTGCTATTAAACCCTGGTTCCACTGTCTGGGTATCTCAATCTATAAACCAGTCTTCTCCATCATCCACATTGTATTTCAGTTGATCAGAGAAAGATCAAAATTGATTGAAACACCCCCAGGAACAAAAGGCGGGAAATTACAAGAAAGTTAAAGAAGGAAGCAAATTTCAGGATAGACAACTGACTTTGGGTTGTAGAAACAATAACATAGAATTTACTTATCCTATGAGTGGTGGGTGGGGTATGGTTATCAGATTACCCCTTCCCACTTCTGTGATGCATGGGTCTACTTAACTATGGTCAGTTTGTAAGTAGGGAGGTATCAGTTTAATTCATAATATATTGCAACACATCAGCAATACCCTGGGCTGGTGATTGATTGTCAGTTCAATAATTCAAATAGGGAACTTTGGTCTTGGGCCTGCAGATAATGTTGACCTCCAAAAAAAACCTTGTCTGCAACTTTTTCACTCAATTGTCAGTTTGGAAAAGAAAATACTTGAGCTAATAAAGTGTCTTCTTGGCAGTATCTTGCATGGGCTGATGTTGTGATTGTAGTCAGTGACAAAGAAAGTTGACAATGTCAAGTCCTCTACTCCATTTTTCATGTCTTCTTGTGTCCACGTTAATGTCTACACAGGATTCATTTACCGTCATGACTCCTCATCACTTTCACCCCATAGAACTGAACCACTACACTCCCAATTATAGGTAATATATTTCTTTCAAGTATCATGTTACAAATTGATTTGTATGTAGGTATAGTAACATGATCAGTGAGAAGATTTTTGAAAGTTTTATTCACCAGGCTCTCACTGGCAGGATCAGCATGATCTGTGACCCAAATAGACAATGAAGCAAAAAAATAGGTTAATATGAAAAAAAAAAAAGAAAAAAAAACAAAGCTTGTTTCTGAATTTGGGCCAAATTATGGGTTAACTCATTTATCTCAATTGTCATTTAATAATAGCAAGTGGTGGTGGGTGTGGGGTTGCACATTATTCAACTTGATCCAACTAGTTAAAACACTGTTAAGTCAAGAGTTCAAATCCAGACAATTCCAGCTGCTGATTCATTTTATTGGAATTAAGTACTTTTTATTTCTTCAAAAAATACTAGAAAAACACACAAATCAGGGTACTTCTTGTAGGCTACTAAAATCCAAATTGCTAATCTTGCTCATCTAGGATTAACTTTAGATAAACTTAAGTTAATTCCTGTTCTAACCAGCACTAAGTAGAAGATGACTCGTATAATTCACACCAATAATTCTGTTACATTCAAAAGACAATTTTAGTGTCAAGAAGGACATTATCGGAGGAATAGCAACCAACTAAAATATAAAAGAAAAATAAATTAACACAGTGGAGTAATGGATAGTGGCTTGGATTGAGGAATCAGAGAGCTGAGTTCAAATTCCAGTCGAATCCATTACATTCACTTATGTGCTAATACCCTTGGGAAAGGTATGAATCCTCATCTTCTCCACCCAGCTATGGGTAAATAGCAGGTCAGGCTGGGTTCTATAGCTTTGGATGGCAACTGATCTACTGTAGAAAGAAATGGCAACTTACTACGGGGAAAAAAAATCTGCCATGTCAGTCATGTATTGAAAGATACATGTTCGCCTAAGCACGTATCATGCATAGCACATAACTGACTGACCTGATCATATTTTAAATACTTTTGAAAAAGCTACATTAAAATATTAATTATTTTCTATGGTTTTTAATTCCAGATGGTTCCATTGATTGAAGATGTCCTGAAGACTTTTGAAAAGAACTTAAATAAGATTGCAGACAGCAAGGAAGCGACTGATGTTACCATGTGAGACATTTTGTGTGTTTATATTATTTAAAATATAATATGCCAATTGATTTTTTCTGTAATGTCTGTCTCTAGAGTTGCCTCCCTTATCTTGCCGATTCTTTTATACACTTAAAAAGTTTTGTTTTTAATCATTTCACACAAGGAAAGCGACAATGCCATAAGAATGCAGAGGGTTACTGAGAGTGAAAGAGAATAAGAATATTGAGAATAGGGAGGCTTGTGGAAAAGACAAAAAAGAAACACGGTTCAAGAGGAAAGAAGATGACAATTGATGTTGTTATATTAAGCATATGGCGGAAGAACAAAGAAGAAACAAGAAAGGTTTAAAGAAATAAACAACTGTATTAACGTAAGATACAACAAATGATAAATTGGTGTAGAAATCTCTCATTGAAAAAAGGAGATTAGTGGAGTGCCCACAGAGGCATAAGGTAGGAGAGGAAGTGACAGGGGCAATGGCCTTTGTCAAGCTGTCTCTTACTCTTGAAGATGAGAGGTCACTTTCAGACAAAGTCTAAACCAGGCCAAAGATGCCATCTAAATACTGTAAATGTCTCTTTGATGGGCTTTTGTTAGGCTCAAATCGGCTCTGTGGGTGGGACTAGGTGCTATTATATGGAAATTCTGGATTGTATTGCTTATTTTTTTTCTTTGAGTGCATGATTCAAAATGGAAAGTATGTATGGAGGTTGCGCAGTTGACAGAATTTTAATCCAGCATTGAGTGTTAGAAGTATTCACATTTAGTCAGTGGTGGAAATTAGTGTAGAATGAATCAGAAGATCTGATTTTAGGAAGAATGTAACAATGTTGGATTTTAATTATTGAAGATTGTAGTTATCAGTTATATATGTTCAATGATATAACAACATATAATTTTGTACAATTTTTTATATCAAGAAACAGCATTTAGAAAAATATGACAAACTGGAAAGGTATTTTTGTGATGCATTTCAATAAAGCCCACTCCGATAAAATCCGAACAGATGAAATGCATCACAAAAAAAAACGTACCAGTTTGTTATATTTTTCTATATATTGTTCAATATAGCACTAACAAGCCAGAGTACACAACTTAATAAATGCTTCGTTCAAGGCAACTATTTCATTAAATTATTCCATATTCAAGTTTAGGACATATGACTATGCCTTACCAATATAAGCAAATTTTCAAAATTCAGTTTCAAGAATCTTTTTGACCAGTATTATTCCACATTTGAAAAGTTGATGAATTTCACATTGAACAATTGTAATAATTATTGGCAGTCATTCTTGCATCTCTTCTTTTAAGAACATATACAGGTTCTTTTAAAAAAAGTAAAAAATCAAAGTTTTAATTCACATTTAAATAATTACTTTGTAATTAAAACAAACACACACACACATGCACAGTGATTCTTTTTTTCACAGTTTGTTTTCAGGTTATACAATGGAGGTGATTGCATCAACTGGATTTGGAATTGAAGTAGATTCACAGGAAGATCCTGACAGCCCTATTGTTAAAAATGCTCGAAAAGTCATTGCGGGTGACTTTTTCAAATCTTTTCAGGCGGTAGCAAGTAAGTACGATAAAAAAAAAAATATATATATGCTCACTATAAGTTCTATGCTAACACTAACACTTCTTGCTTGTAGAAATATCTTCTGCATTCTTACTTTGAAAAAATTAAATGCAATGTCAATCGTCATCTTCAGTCTGCTACCTGTTCTTTTCTTCTTCTATCCCCTTAATAACATTTCAAAAATAATTTAAAAATTAAAACAGTTACCTTTCTTACATGCTTGGAATGTGAAAATAAATTGTTGTGATAAGAAACCTACCTTTGATTTTACAGCAGAATCTCTGAATCCATTTTATATTCTGATTATAGAAAAAGAACTGCAAGGTGTTCATGATGACTTTGTCATGTGATTTACAACCTTCCTTTTCTTCTTTTATCCTATTGATCCATCATAGAAAGAGATCAGCAAGGTGTTCATGATGACTTTGTCATGTGATTTATAACCTTCCTTTTCTTTTTTTTATCCTATTGATCCATCATAGAAAAGATCTGCAAGGTGTTCATGATGACTTTGTCATGTGATTTACAACCTTCCCTTTTTTTTTTATCCTATTGATCCATCATAGAAAGAGATCTGCAAGATGGTCATGATGACTTTGTCATGTGATTTACAACCTTCCCTTTTCTTCTTTTATCCTATTGATCCATAATAGAAAGAGATCTGCAAGGTGTTCTTGATGACTTTGTCATGTGATTTACAACCTTCCCTTTTCTTCTTTTATCCTATTGATTCATTATAGAAAGAGATCTGCAAGGTGTTCTTGATGACTTTGTCATGTGATTTACAACCTTCCCTTTTCTTCTTTTATCCTATTGATTCATCATAGAAAGAGATCTGCAAGGTGTTCATGATGACTTTGTCATGTGATTTACAACCTTCCCTTTTCTTCTTTTATCCTATTGATCCATCATAGAAAGAGATCTGAAAGATGTTAATGATGACTTTGTCATGTGACTTACAACCTTCCCTTTTCTTCTTTTATCCTATTGATCCATTATAGAAAGAGATCTGCAAGATGGTCATGATGACTTTGTCATGTGATTTACAACCTTTATTTTTTCTTCTTTTATCCTATTGATCCATCATAGAAAGAGATCTGAAAGATGTTAATGATGACTTTGTCATGTGATTTATAACCTTCCCTTTTATCCTATTGATCCATCTGAGACGAATGAAGAAAACAGTAACCAGCGAGTAAATTCAAGCTCTCCCAGCTGGTATTTCAACCTTGAGTCGTTCCTTCTTGAGTTCTGTCTCCAAATCACACTAACTGCCCGTTCTTGCGGTCAACCATGAACGTCCCTCGAAGAACTTCCCGATTCGGAAAAAAGTAGTTGTTTTTATAGTTGTTCATATACCCATAATCCTTGCGTCTTCACGTGATCCCATAATTCATTGCGTCCATGTCCCATAATGCATTGCATCGTTATTGCATAAAATGTGATGCCAGTCCCCCTCATTTTTACGTTATCTGGCCGAGGATGGATTATGGCAGAGCGGTAAGTGCTTTTTTCTCTCCCTCATTTCAACTGCAGTAGCTTTACATGCTAAGCAAATACGGACTCTTTTTTTGGCGGGGACAAGGCAAGTCGCGACCAGTTGTGCTCGTCCCAGGTTCTGTCTCATGTCCGCCACACTCCCCTGATCTCCTGATCACACAGATGACAGTGAGGATACAGTCTTTTGTTCCAGGTGCTCCTCGAAGGGGAATTGGTTGAACTTCTTCATCAGAGGAGCTCTCATTAGACACGTCCCGATCTATTGGCAAACTACCGCTATCGGAGTGATTGGTTGTTGAATCCAACTCTATGTATATTGGCTGTTCACTATCCTCCGTGTCTTCTTCGTCAGTTGTGGGATTTGAGCTCAAAAACGGCGCAGGTCTCTAACATGACGAGGCGTTCCATCGACCCGCACTGACTGCTGACTCACCACCTCGATCACACGTCCAGTTCCAAATTTGGTCGTGCATTTACCATGTGGAGTCTTAACCCAGACAATGTCCCCTTTCTTGTATTCCCCTTCGGTTATTTGTGATTCAGGCAGGGGCGTCGCGTCGATACCTCTCACCTGGACGTGGTATGTGTGCAGTACATCAGCCGGTGCTGTGGAAGGTGAAAGGTTGTCCTTAGGTGTGACGTTATGCCAGTAAACCGCTTCAAGACTGAACAATTTTTCCTGGCGCTATGGTTTTGACGCTTCTGTGGTTGCGTTCCACAATGCCATTTCCAGACGGCACGTGGCGCTTCCGGAACCTCAAATGCATGCCCCAGCTGTTTACAAATTCCCTAAATTGTCTGCAAGTGAACGTGGTGTCATTGTCAGTTAGTATTTCAGTCGGCGGGCCTCGTTCATAGAAGACTGTCTCCAGCTGATGAATGACACCAGCAGAGTCTTGCCGTCTCAGTGGCGCCATACCGCAAAACGGAGGGACCACAGTCAATGAGCGTAAGAAAATGGCTACCATTGTAATGGGTCACGTCCATTGCTAACCTGCTTCAGTTTTTACTCACACTCAAATTTCCTTTCTTCCAATGCACTGGTGCTGGATCGATCGATTGGCAGGCTTCACAGGTTCTAACAACAGATTTTACCAGTTCCTTAGACACCGTTGGATCTACAGTCCTAGCAAAGTACATTGTTCTTTTAATACCTGGGTGCCCACTCTGCTGGTGGATGTGGGTCACCTGACGTTTGCTCAACTGGCTCGTTGCAGTGGCACAACTCACTTGCACCAGTTCTCCTCCTTTCTTGTGTATCTCCAACCAGCATTGCGGCACTCTGGTGAGGCTGTCAGCGTGGTTCTGACAAGATTTTACCAACGTCACAGTCATAGTCAGTGCGTACTCCTCCACCAAAGCTCGCAGTGTCTCTAAGCACCGCCTCATCAGCATTTCACCCGCTGCCTTCGTGTTCACGCGCGTCCTTCCTGTCAGGGTGTCAGACACCCACCGATGCACATGCTGAATCGGTGACCACATGCATAACTGGTGACTGCCACTGCAGGGCAAGATTCATGCAACTTGATCACCGCATCAAGCTCAGCAAGATTAATGTGTTTGGCATCATTGGTTGGACGCAACCAGCAAGCATCTTCCACGACGCCCCATTCACCTCTAGTGCTACTCCCATGGCCACGGAGCTTGCATCCACCCAAACTGTCATTTCATTGCCGTTCACACACCAGTCTCCACCGACAGGATCTGATTCCCGCACTCTGGCCACTGTTTCCTCCAGCATACATCCAAGAGGGCATCCTTTATCTCGTCGTCCCATCCTTTGGTTAGTGTACTTGCATAACGCTTAATAAATGCAGTTGCCACCCTAAGCCAACCGCACACGGGAAATGACCCACGAGTTTCCCGCACAAAGAAAAAATACGGCATGGTCACCTTTGAGCAATTTCTGAAACCTGACCTCCCCTTCCATCAAGGGAGTTGCTTTTCTTCCCAGACTTGCAGACCCAGGACCTTAGTTCCGTCTCTCAATCGCTCTGGATCTTTACAGACTAGCCCGTAATCTGCAAAGTGCTGTCTTACATGCGCTGCAGAAACTAGGCCTTCATTTATTAAGATATCGTCAACGTATGCCAACGTGGCACTCTTAATGTCCTGATCCTGGGACGTTATTATGTCGATCACTGACTTCATGACAAGTGGTGCCACATTCAGGCCAAAACCCAAACGCATAAGGCAAAACCGCTTGCCATTAATGACCACTGTTTGAAACGGCCATAGTGATTTGTCAATGTGAATCTGTAGGTACGCATTTCTTAAATCCAACAGCAATACGTCAGCTCCTTGTCGTCGCCATTCTCGTAATTTCTGCGCACACACACCTCTGCGTCAGCCGTGAATGCGTCTACAAAGCCGTTCAACTCCCGATAGTCAAGTACCGGCGGACCTTCTGTTTGTGTTCTTGTACGACCGCCATTAAGGAATTAATCCTTGGATGGGCCAAGCTCTTTCTCGGGATATGGCAGTAGCCATCTGTCTCGCTGCCACCGTGCTAGTTCTTCATCGTATGCATCCCGGACGTGGCCAGGTACTGTGTACTCCTGTACTTTATTGACCAACTTGCTAGGTGAATGACCACTCGCCCACTTCCACAATGCAGTCCACGTTTTCGTGCTCCGGGTTAAACGTCACTCTAAAGTCAGGCTTGTTGATAACAATGGCGGCACATGTGTTCAGGTTTTCAAACCGCTTCGCCTGATTCGGTCAAGTAAACACCTCCGAGCACTTTGATTGCATCAATCCCGAGAAGAAGATCGAATCCTAGCAACTGCCCTTCCATGACCAGAACCTCAACAGTCACGGGCTGAATCTGCTTGACGCCCAACTTAATTTTTACCGTATCCACGGAACTTCAGGGTCTTCCGTCGGCAGTCAACACTCCCACCTCTTCCTGCTTCCAGCAGCGACACACAGTCTTGCTCACCAGCGTCTGTGAGCATCCCGAATCCACTAGAGCTGTACACTCTACTCCATCTACAAATACTTGTACGGTGGGTAACTTCCGGGTTTTACTTGCTCGGGGAGAAGGCTGGCGCTGACGCCTTCTCCCCTTGGGCGTTTCCCTGGCATTCTGAGGAAATGTGTCCAATGCCATTGCATCGAAAACACTGCTTGTCGCGGCCAGACCTCTGCGTTCTGTTTGACCTCTCCTGACGTCCTTGTGTACAATTCTTCGCCATATGGTTGGGTCCAGAGCACTTGCAGCAGGTAATCGTTCTGCTAACAGGTTTGGCAGGGGGAACCTCAGCTTCTGAGCGCAGTAGCTCACGGATGCGGCGCCAATACCTGGCATCCTTCGTCATCCATCATAATAGCCCTTGCTCGGGTCAGAATCTGTTCTAGATTCATGTCGTCCATCCTGGAAGAAGCTTTGAGAAGCTGCCTAACATGTTGTGGCAGTCCTGACACGAATGCACATGCCATCCACCGATCAGGTAGCGGTTCTCCTATTAGCCGCGCCAAACGATGCATTTCAGCCAGGAATTCATCCACAGTTTCCCCTGGGCGAAGATGCCGTCCCATAAATTGGTCGAACGCATTAAATCTGTCAGTCGCATATGCAGTCATAAGGGCCCGTTTAATTTGTTCCGCGTCTGCCCTCTGGTCTCCACTAAGTTGTCTATACACAGCAAGGGCACCGCCTCGAAAGCGTAGAGGCAAGATGCGCTCGATCTTGTCCATGGCACAAAGTTCGCAGACCAATTCCACATTTTCTATCCATTCAACAATGGGCATATCCGTTGGGGCGCCGCTGAATTCTGGAATCAAACGGACGTCAAAGACCTTGCCTTCCATTTTGAAGAATCAATATGCCGAAATAGCTTGAGACGAATGAAGAAAACAGTAACTAGCGAGTAAATTCAAGCTCTCCCAGCTGGTATTTCAACCTTGAGTCGTTCCTTCTTGAGTTCTGTCTCCAAATCACACTAACTGCCCGTTCTTGTCGTCAACCATGAACATCCCTCGAAGAACTTCCCGACTCAGAAAAAAGAAGTTGTTTTTATAGTTGTTCATATACCCATAATCCCTTGTGTCTTCACGTGATCCCATAATTCATTGCGTCCATGTCCCATAATGCATTGCATCGTTATTGCATAAAAATGCGATGCCAGTCCCCCCTCATTCTTTTATGTTACCTGCCGAGGATGGATTACGGCAGAGCGGTAAGTGCTTTTTTTTCTCTCCCTCATTTCAACTTCAGTAGCTTTACATGCTAAGCAATTACGGGCTCTTTTTTGGCGGGACAAGGCAAGTCGCGACCAGTTGTGCTCATCCCAGGTTCTGTCTCATGTCCGCCACACCATCATAGAAAGAGATCTTCAAGGTGTTAATGATGATTTTGTCATGTGATTTACAAAGCTTTCCTTTTCTACTTTTATCCTATTGATCCATCACAGAAAGAGATCTGCAAGGTGTTCATGACGACTTTGTCATGTGATTTACAAAGCTTCCCTTTTCTACTTTTATCCTGTTGATCCATCATAGAAAGAGATCTGCAAGGTGTTCATGATGACTTTGTCATGTGACTTACAACCTTCCGTTTTCTTCTTTTATCCTATTGATCCATTATAGAAAGAGATCTGCAAGGTGTTCATGATGACTTTGTCATGTGATTTACAACATTCACTTTTCTTCTTTTATCATATTGATCCATCATAGAAAGAGATCTGCAAGGTGTTCATGATGACTTTGTCATGTGACTTACAACCTTCCGTTTTCTTCTTTTATCCTATTGATCCATCATAGAAAGAGATCTGCAGGATGGTCATGATGACTTTGTAATGTGATTTACAACCTTTTCTTTTCTTCTTTTATCCTATTGATCCATCATAGAAAGAGATCTGCAAGGTGTTCATGATGACTTTGTCATGTGATTTACAACATTCACTTTTCTTCTTTTATCATATTGATCCATCATAGAAAGAGATCTGCAAGGTGTTCCTGATGTGCCTTTGTCATGTGATTTACAAACTTTCTTTCTTTTATCCTATTGATTCATCATAGAAAGAGATCTGCAAATGTTCCTGATGACTTTTTGTAATGTGATTTACAACCTTTTCTTTTTTTTTTTATCCTATTGATCCATCATAGAAAGAGATTAAAAAGGTGTTCATGATGACTTTGTCATGTGATTTATAACCTTCCCTTTTCTTCTTTTATCCTATTGATCCATAATAGAAAGAGATCTGCAAGGCGTTCATGATGACTTTGTCATGTGATTTACAAAGCTTTTTTCTTCTTTTATCCTATTGATCCATCATAGAAAGAGATCTGCAGGTGTTCATGATGACTTTGTCATGTGATTTACAAAACCTTCCCTTTCTTCTTTTATCCTATTGATTCATTATAGAAAGAGATCTGCAAGGTGTGTTCATGATGACTTTGTAAACCATGATTTACAAACTTCCCTTTTCTTCTTTTATCCTATTGATCCATCATAGAAAGAGATCTGCAAGGTGTTCATGATGACTTTGTCATGTGATTTATAACCTTCCCTTTTCTTCTTTTATCCTATTGATCCATAATAGAAAGAGATCTGCAAGGCGTTCATGATGACTTTGTCATGTGATTTACAAAGCTTCCCTTTTCTTCTTTTATCCTATTGATCCATCATAATTGTATATTTGCAGAAGGATAACAAAAGTGTGTGGAGATTCATTCAAATTATTTAAAATTCACAATGTTCTAAAATAAAAGTACATTATGAAAAATCCTTTTTCAAGTTATGTTTCTCTCACCAAAATCAAGAGGGAAAGATTTCTTTATATAAAGCATTCTATGGTTTTTAGATCTTCTTATGCTTTTATCGATCATCCTGTAAAAATGGTTGCTTTTAATCTCTCATGTATTTGCTTCAATTACAGTCATTTTTCCAATACTCGCTAAACTTTTCAACAAGTTCAAACCTGGAATGGTATTTGGGAATATGCGTTACTTTCTAGATTTTTGCAAGGTATTGCTTGAAGAAAGTAAGAAAGTGGAAAATCAAAGTGTAAGTATCCTTTGTGCAAAAATAGAAAATATCCTTGAACTGCGGTGAATATTTGGAAACTTTATGGGAATAAATTATCATTTTATACCAAGTGAATATTTACTAAAAGTTCCTTGATTAATTCATGGACATTTTTATCTTCCAAAACAAGAGACTTTATCTTTCATTATGTAAGTGCTATTTCCACTGGGATATGTTAAAATAGAAGGTGATGATATCACAAAAGGTTAGGAAATTAATTTTTTGACTTAGTGGTGTTTGTATAATTTAAAATTGCAGGCACGTAAAAATCTACTACAGCTGATGTTGGATGCTCAACTTGAAGGCCATGAAAAGTTGGACAAGAAAACTGAACATGAACTCAAACTGGAAAATATTACAGACTGGAGAACAAAAAGAGGTAAAAGCCATTTAGTTATCATTAAACATACTTCACTGGCAAGGTGACCTGATTTTATCTGAACATTATTTAATATCAACAATATATGATCGATATACATGAAAACATGGTACAAATTCATTTTTCAGATCTTTAACATTTTTTAAACAACCTAAATGCCATGAATGATTTGAATGGGAGAAATGAGATTTTCATTTCTCATTTAATGTGATAGAACGTGAAGCGTTTACCAGTTAAACTAGATTATTTTCAACAGTTTGCCATTATAAAAATTCTTCTTAATGTCATTTAATAAACTTTTATTGAACTTTATGTTTCTTCAACAAGGTCTTACAGATTTAGAAATCATTGCACAATGCATGGTTTTTTTTATTGCTGGCTTTCAGACGACAGCATCCACTCTGTCCTATTTTGCTCACTCTATAGCAATGAACCCGGATGTTCAAGAGAAACTTTACCAAGAGATAGAAGAAAAACTTGGACAGGTCAAATCTTTTAATTATCCAAATCTGAGTTCTTTCAAATTTGCATGTGTTTTTTTTCATCTTTTTCTGTATTTCCAGAGATCATTTTCCAATTTGAAGAATCTAGATTTTTTGTTTTTTTTTATTTACACCCCGAAAATTGTAAGTTTGATTGATTAAATAACAGGAGGAAATAGTTGTATTGTGAACAGAGATACCGAGTTGAGAACTGATAACATCAGGAAAGTCATTTATGAAAATTAGTAACAACATAGGTCAAAAGATAAATCACTGGAGAACATCTGCATTAATGCAAAAAGATCTAGAAGAGTGGCCATTCAAGATAACTTTCATTTTGCAATTTGATAAGAAAGTCTATTGTACTTTGGAAAAGAGATAGAAGACAGCTACTAGGCTGATAGTTAAAATTATCAGATGTTTCTTAAAGACTGGAACACCAGAAAAAGAAATTTCCAACAAGCAGGAAAATCTAAGCAGCAAGGCATTTATTTTAGAGTTTAGAGAGAACAGGCACACATTTCTTAAGGTCTATTAGAGGGATAACATCAAGTTAACATGCTTTATTGGGATTCAATTTAGAGATGATATTTTAGAAAGCATGGATGGAATTATTTTGTAATCATTTCACCCCAATCAAGGCAGGAATGCCACTAGTATGCAGTGGTCATTACATAAGTGAAGGTGAGAAAAAGATTAGGTCTATGGGGATTGAGAAAAGATAAAAGATGAACAAGATTCAACAAGATAGATTGATGTTGCATTTAAATATTTTTGAAGATTGTAGTTATCAGGGAAGTAAATAAATGAAAGGGAGTTCCACAGACAGGAACTGCAAGAAAAGAAACTGTTGGAGTAGTAGTGGCAGTTACATTTAACTATTTCAACAGTAAAATGGCGGGACCTAGATGCCAATCTAGTAGCACACTTAAATTCATGTTCTGACAGAACAGTTGCTATGAGGGATTGTTGCCATTTGTAGAAAAGGCAGAGGGGAACCGTGTTACATTGGTGAGAAAGTTAAGATGCCACGTCACGATCGATTACATTGCAGATTGTACTTTGGATTTTGTCAAGAACCTCAAGATGAATAGCAAGAGCACTAGACCAGTAATGGCAACAGCATTCAATGCATGGTGAATAATTTACATTTGTAAATGTGCAAGATGGACTGTGACAAGAAAGACCTTCTAGCATGACACAGTGACCCAACTTTCCTTGCAGTAGATGCAACTATTGATTCGATGTAGTCATTCCACTTCAAGCCAGTTGAAAATGTGTGGCCAAGAAAGTGTAGTATGATGCTCTCCAGGAGTCTAGCGTCAGCCATGATGATGTCGCGCAGGAAAGTTTCTTTATGGTGATTAAATGAGAGCAGTTTAGTTTTGGAAACATTAAAATTTACAGTTCATTTCCTGCAACCAGTTAATCCCTGATTGGAGGTCCTCATCAAGAGCAATGGCTAGGTTAACTTTGTGAGCTCTGAGGAATTTACTAGTGAGACAAAAATAAATGGTAGTGTCATCAGCATAAATGCTTACTTGAGAACTGATGACATCAGGAAAATCATTGACGAAGATCAGAAACAGTGTAGAACCCAGGATAGAGTCTTGTGGGGACACCTGTGTTTCTTATGAAAGGAACTGGAAGCAAGAATGTTCAAAATGATCTTCATTTCATGATTTGATAGGAATGATTGGATTAAATCAAACAATTGTCCAATAATACTGTAGCCTTGGATCTTACATAGAAGACAATCATGCTAAACCGTCAAATGCCTCTGAGATATCTAGATAACCATAACTTGATCTTTGCTGTTATTATCAAGAACTTGATATATACATACAGTGATGGCAGTAGACCTGGCAAAATGGAAGCCATATTGTTTGTCAGAGAGTACATCATGAGTGATAAGATGCTTTACATGCATATCTCATTAAAACTCAGTTTTAAGTGGAAAGTCAGGCAAATATACTCCAGACAAGTTGATTAGAATTTGAAGAGAATTTACAAGGAAAAAATTCTGTTTTAGTTGCAGAAAATGTTAACGCCTCAAATTGAGTGAAAAGAGAAGGAATAGAAGACTTACTCTTATTTAACACACTATTACAGAGCTGCCAGTAGTCAGAAGAATAAAACTTGTTACAGACTATACAGCAAACAAATTTTAGTACATGTTTATAGGTATTTTAAGCCGCCATGAATAAGCGTCTGTTGTGATCAGAATCGTCACACTTGTACACCTAAAAATGTTGATTCCTGTGGGCTATAGTGCATGAACAGGCTGGTGTGAACCAAGGAGAAGATGGCGGCATCATTGTATTTGTGAGAATGTACAAAAGCATCATTGCCAGCTTTAACCTCTAGCACAATTCTCAATAGGAGAATTAAGAATATCAATCAATGAGTCATCTTGAATAAAGTGACAAAATTAATCCCAATCAATGATGATGACATGAATATATCTTGTGAATGGGAGGTTCTTTTTTAATAGACAGCTCGAAAGAAATGTCTTTAGATACTGCAGTGAGATCTGAATTGACAAGAGGACAGAATTGTGATCCTCAACAAGAGCTTGGAGAGGGGTAAGGAACAAATCAAGGAAAGAAGAAGAAAGTTTATTAATGAATTTTGCCAATGTCTAAAAGTTGCATTTAACCGTAACAATACTAAGAGACTAAATATTTCAAGAGATCCTTCTTCAAATTAAAGAATCAGGATTTATAGAATTTTCTGATTTTAACAAATTCACCTGATTATGACTGAATTTCTAACCCAATGAATAAATGAATGTGTAAAGCCATGTTAAAACCTTTATCAATACTTATAGACCAATATTTCAAAAGATCCATTTCAAATTAAAGAATCAAGATTTCATTTATAGAATTTCCCAATGTTAATAGATTTCCTTGATTATCAATGAATTTTCCCAATGTTTAAGTTGCACTAAAACTGTATGAAATCTTCAGAATTTGGATGTCATTTGTTTTCTATCCTTCTCTCCATTTCAAGAAATGCTTTTCCAAATTAAAAGAATCATTTGGGCTTTTTATAGAATTTCCCAATGTTAATAGATTTCCTTGATTATCAATGAATTTTCCCAATGTTTAAAGTTGCACTAAAACTGTATGAAATCTTCAGAATTTGGATGTCATTTGTTTTCTATCCTTCTCTCCATTTCAAAATGCTTTTCCAAATTAAAGAATCAGGCTTTTTATAGAATTTCCCAATGTTAATAGATTTCCTTGATTATCAATGAATTTTCCCAATGTTTAAAAGTTGCACTAAAACTGTATGAAATCTTCAGAATTTGGATGTCATTTGTTTTCTATCCTTCTCTCCATTTCAAGAAATGCTTTTCAAATTAAAGAATCAGGCTTTTTTATAGAATTTCCCAATGTTAATAGATTTCCTTGATTATCAATGAATTTTCCCAATGTTTAAAGTTGCAAAAAAAACTGTATGAAATCTTCAGAATTTGGATGTCATTTGTTTTTCTATCCTTCTCTCCATTTCAAGAAATGCTTTTCCAAATAAAAAGAATCAGGCTTTTATAGAATTTCCCAATGTTAATAGATTTCCTTGATTATCAAAAAATTTTCCCAATGTTTAAAGTTGCACTAAAACTGTATGAAATCTTCAGAATTTGGATGTCATTTGTTTTCTATCCTTCTCTCTGTTTCAAGAAATGCTTTTCCAAATTAAAGAATCAGGCTTTTTATAGAATTTCCCAATGTTAATAGATTTCCTTGATTATCAATGAATTTTCCCAATGTTTAAAGTTGCACTAAAACTGTATGAAATCTTCAAATTTGGATGTCATTTGTTTTCTATCCTTCTCTCTGTTTCAAGAAATGCTTTTCAAATTAAAGAATCAGGCTTTTTATAGAATTTCCCAATGTTAATAGATTTCCCTTGATTATCAATGAATTTTCCCAATGTTTAAAGTTGCACTAAAATGTAATTTGTATGAAATCTTCAGAATTTTGGATGTCATTTGTTTTCTATCCTTCTCTCTGTTTCAAGAAATGCTTTTCCAAATTAAAGAATCAGGCTTTTTATAGAATTTCCCAATGTTAATAGATTTCCTTGATTATCAATGAATTTTCCCAATGTTTAAAGTTGCACTAAAACTGTATGAAATCTTCAGAATTTGGATGTCATTTGTTTTCTATCCTTCTCTCTGTTTCAAGAAATGCTTTTCCAAATTAAAGAATCAGGCTTTTTATAGAATTTCCCAATGTTAATAGATTTCCTTGATTATCAATGAATTTTCCCAATGTTTAAAGTTATTTTAAAACTTGTATGAAATCTTCAGAATTTGGATGTCATTTGTTTCTATCCTTCTCTCTGTTTCAAGAAATGCTTTTTTCAAATTAAAGAATCAGGCTTTTTATAGAATTTCCTAATGTTAATAGATTTCCTTGATTATCAATGAATTTTCCCAATGTTTAAACTTCTAAAACTGTATGAAATCTTCAGAATTTGGATGTCATTTGTTTTTCTATCCTTCTCTCCATTTCAAGAAATGCTTTTTCCAAATTAAAGAATCAGGCTTTTTTATAGAATTTCCCAATGTTAATAGATTTCCTTGATTATCAATGAATTTTCCCAATTTTTAAAGTTGCACTAAAAACTGTATGAAATCTTCAGAATTTGGATGTCATTTTTTTTCTATCCTTCTCTCCATTTCAACTTCAAAATGCTTTTCCAAATTAAAGAATCAGGCTTTTTTATAGAATTTCCCAATGTTAATAGATTTCTTGATTATCAATGAATTTTCCCAATGTTTAAGCCCTTTTGCACTTAAAACTGTATGAAATCTTCAGAATTTGGATGTCATTTGTTTTCTATCCTTTCTCTGTTTCAAGAAATGCTTTTCCAAATTAAAAGAATCAGGCTTTTTATAGAATTTCCCTAATGTTAATAGATTTCCTTGATTATCAATGAATTTTCCCAATGTTTAAAGTTGCACTAAAACTGTATGAAATCTTCAGAATTTG